ACAAGTCTATTTGAAAATATAATACTGATTTGGTATGTAAAATACTTAAGACCTATTCTTAATTTGAGGTCAAGCTCATATGTATGTTTAATTACTAAAGTATATATCCTGACAGACAACTATAGCTTGAGTATTTCTCAACATAAGCTACCTAAGTTAGAGGGGTTTACAACAGCTTTTACTCACTCAACACAGGTTACCTAAGTTAGGGGTTTACAACAGCATTTACTGACTCAACACAGGTTACCTAAGTAAGAGGGGTTTACAACAGCATTTACTGACTCAACACAGGTTACCTAAGTTAGAGGGGTTTACAACATCATTTACTCACTCAACACAGATTACCTAAGTTAGAGGGTTTTACAACAGCATTTACTGACTCAACACAGGTAACCTAAGTTAGAGGGGGTTACAACAGCATTTACTGACTCAACACAGGTTACCTAAGTTAGGGGTTTACAACAGCATTTACTCACTCAACACAAGTTACCTAAGTTAGAGGGTTTTACAACAGCTTTTACTCACTCAACACAGGTTACCTATGTTAGATGGTTTACAACAGCATTTACTCACTCTACACAGGTTACCTTAGTTAGAGGGGTTTACAACAGCTTTTACTCACTCAACACAGATTACCTAAGTTAGAGGGTTTTACAACAGCATTTACTCACTCAACACAGGTTACCTATGTTAGATGGTTTTACAACAGCATTTATTCACTCAACATAGATTACCTAAGTTAGAGGGTTTTACAACAGCATTTACTCACTCAACACAGGTTACCTAAGTTAGGGGGGTTACAACAGCATTTACTCACTCAACACAGGTTACCTTAGAGGGGTTTACAACAGCTTTTACTCACTCAACACAGGTTACCTAAGTTAGGGGGGTTACAACAGCATTTACTCACTCAACACAGGTTACCTTAGTTAGAGGGGTTTACAACAGCTTTTACTCACTCAACACAGGTTACCTAAGTTAGAGGGTTTTACAACAGCATTTACTCAGTCAACACAGGCTACCTAAGTTAGAGGGGTTTACAACAGCATTTACTCACTCAACACAGATTACCTAAGTTAGAGGGTTTTACAACAGCATTTACTCACTCAACACAGGTTACCTAAGTTAGAGGGTTTTACAACAGCATTTACTCAGTCAACACAGGTTACCTAAGTTAGGGGTTTACAACAGCATTTACTCACTCAACACAGGTTACCTAAGTTAGGGGGTTTACAACAGCATTTACTCACTCAACACAGGTTACCTTAGAGGGGTTTACAACAGCTTTTACTCACTCAACACAGGCTACCTAAGTTAGAGGGGTTTACAACAGCATTTACTCACTCAATACAGGTTACCTTAGTTAGAGGGTTTTACAACAGCATTTACTCACTCAACTATTAATTACATGGGTTTGAATCCCATACTATGACATCAGATTAAGATTAAACTAGAGACTCTAAATAGACTGTGTGGCTTGGGGCCCAAGTGGCTCACCTGAATAAATGAGTATCTTTATTAATGGTCACTTTCAAACATTGATTAATTTCTTGAATAAAATCTTTTCTGATGATCTTGTAATGTTGATAATTTTTCTGTATACAGTTTATCTGTATCTACTAGAGTTTTTGCTGAAAATTCATAATAAGATCTGAAATCATTGTCATCAAATCAGCTAATCTAGTTTAAAAACTGACGATTTTTTCGAAAGACATCTCTGTATTACTGAAAAATTATTACACCAATGTTTTCGATATGACAAACTTGTCAAAACATTTACTAAATTTTATCATCTGTACAATGACATCATTCGTATATATAAATCAACGTGCAGACATCTTATACCTTTAGGTATTTTACATCCCATCTTTTATGGTAATATTCTATACAAAGCACAAAAATGTCGTCATTCATCTCAAAAGCTAACCAAACCTTTTAACAGACTTATTCAGAAGGGGTATAGTTACGATACTGTTGTCAGGTTATTAAAGATGGCTCTTTTTGGAATTAATATTGGCTCACACATAGGGTCTTTGCAATGGAAATACACATTTATTCTAAAACCAGCTGTTGGCATGATGCGGGTTATGTTCTTCTCGTATATTTTATGATGGTATGATACTAAACCCCTAATGGGAGGGATTGTGCTTGATTTTCATATGATGAAGACATAATCTTTAAATAAGTTTAATTGAGGTCTGGAGCTGGCATTTCAGTTACTGCTAGTAGTCCTTTGTTAATTTATATTGATCATTGTCATTTTGCTTAGTTTCTTCTGTTACCTATTCTAACATCGGACTCAGACTTCTTCTAAACTTAGTGTGACTGTGCGTATTGCTTTGAGTTTGTTTATTCTAAACTGGCTAGAGTTATAGGGGGAGGGTTGAGATCTCAAAAAACATGTTCAACTTTAACCGTGCTGCATTTTGGAGCCTGTCCCAAGTCAGCATCCTCTGGCCTTTGTTGGTCTTGTATGTTTTTAGCTCACCTGGCCCAAAGGGCCAAGTGAGCTTTTCTCACCACTTGGTGTCCGTTGTTGTCGTCATCCGTCGTCGTTAACTTTTTACATTTTGAACTTCTTCTAGGGAACCACTGAATGGAACGAATCCAAACATGGCATGAATGTTCCTTATGAGGTGCTGACCAAGTGTTGTTACTTTGAAGCAAATCCATTATCCAAGATGGCTGCCAGCGGGGGACTTTGTTTAACATAGGACCCTATGGACAATACATACAAATGTAATCTTTTAGAGAACCACTGAATGGAATGAAACCAAACATGGCATGAATGTTCCTTATGAGGTGCTGACCAAGTGTTGTTACTTTGAGGCTGATCCATCATCCAAGATGGCAGCCAGCGGGAGACTTCGTTCAACATAAGACAATGGACAATACATACAAATGTCTTCTTATAGAGAACCACTGAATGGAATGAAACCAAACATGCCATGATTGTTCCTTATGAGGTGGTGACCAAGTGTTGTTACTTTGCAGCCGATCCAGCATCCAAGATGGCAGCCAGCGGGGGACTTCGTTTAACATAGGACCCTATGGACAATACATACAAATGTCTTCTATTAGAGAACCACTGTAAGGAATGGAACCAAACATGGCATGAATGTTCCTTATGAGGTGCTGAACAAGAGTTGTTACTTTGAAGCCGATCCATCATCCACGATGGCCGCCAGCGGGGGACTTAGTTTAACATAGGACCCTATGGACAATACATACAAATGTCTTCTTTTAGAGAACCACTGAATGAAATGAAACCAAACATGGCATGAATGTTCCTTATGAGGTGCTAACCAAGATGGCCACCAGTGGGGTACTTCGTTTAACACAGGACCCTATGGACAATACATACGAATGTCTTCTTTTAGAGAACCACTGAATGGAATAAAACCAAACATAACATGAATGTTCCTTATGAGGTGCTGAACAAGTGTTGTTACTTTGTAGCAAATCCATCAACCAAGATGACTGCCAACGGGGAACTTAGTTTAACAAAGGACCCTATGGGAAATATATATAAATATCTTCTTCTAGAAAACTGCTTAATTGATTGAAACCAAAAATGGTATGAACGTTTTTTTTTGAGGTGCTGACCAAGTGTTGTTACTTTGTAGCTGATTTGTCATCTAAGATGACCGCCAGCAGGGGACTTAGTTTAACATAAGACATACAAACAAATGTCTTCTTTTAGAGAATCACTGAATGGAATGAAACCAAACATGACATGAATGTTCCTTATGAGTTGCTGACCAAGTGTTGTTACTTTGTAGCCAAATCATCATCCAAGATGGCCACCAGCAGGGGACTTAGTTTAACATAAGACCCTATGGGAAATACATACAAATGCTTCTTCTAGAGGTGCATTGAATGGAATGAAACCAAACATGGCATAAATGTTCCTTATGAGGTGCTGATGAAGTGTTGCTACTTTGTTGCTGATTTAGGGAGCTACCATTTGATTTTTATGGGGGAGGGGGGCTAGGATGAAATTTGAAAAAAAAGGCAGGACAGGAGCAACTTGGCAAAAAAAAAAGGCTGGATGATAATTTATGTAAAAAAAGTCAGGATAAAATATTAAAAAAAAAAAGGCAGGACCGAATAGAGTGAAAAATAAAAAGGCAGGACAAAATTTTTCATCCTAGCCCCCCCATAAAAATCAAATGGTAGCTCCCTTACTGTTCAAGATGGCCACCAGGATATTTTATTAAATTACAGGGCCAATATTAAACCAAATTTGGCCTCAATCATTATTAAGGTATCTGTTATGATTTTAATCTATTTTTACATGAGTTCCAAAACCAAAGTAGAATCAGGTGAGCAACACAGGCTCTTGAGAGCCTCTAGTTTCATTTTGGTTCATTTATATGTTTTGGAGTTTAATCTGATGTCCATTTTCGCTGAACTAGTATACATTTTTGTTTAGGGGCCAGCTGAAGCCCGCCTCCGGGTGCAGGATTTTCTCGCTGTGTTAAAGACCCATTGGTGGCCTTGGGCTGTTTTCTGCTCTTTGGTCGGGTTGCAGTCTCTTTGACACATTCCCTGTTTCCATTGTCAATTTTATTAATTTAGACTAAAAACTGAAAACAGACAAATATAAGTAACATATATAGAGAATATTATATGGCTTGATCAATATCACACTTGTATCAACCCTTCTAACACAGAGATCATATTGGTTGGGGATTAATAAAGACTTTATTTGACACTTAAAACATGTTTTTCATGTGACATGGCGTAACACAGATTTCTTTGGTCTGATGAAGCATGTGGAATCGTGACTGATATAGATATCATTATAAATTGCTAATACAGAACAAATTCCTTGGATTATATGGCACATAAAATTACTTGTACTTAATGCTAAGTATATAATATGATAAAAATATAATAAATACACTGCTTTCTGACTAAAATCTATGCATTACAATAAAGATTTTACAAAATAACCTCTAAATATACCATTAAGGATGTACTTAGGTGAAATTAATTGCAAGGTTATATATATATTGTTCCACATTGTTGTTCAAATACACCAAGAAAGTTAGAAGCTTTACAAAATTAAAGGTGGAATAAAGTATCTGCAAAAATATGTTGGTTTACATCTTATTGTTTGGCATTGAATAAAACAGAAGAATTAAAATGACAAAGTAATAATATAATCAAAGTACTGAAGTACTGAACATCGGATGACCGCAAGTTCTTGTGGATGGTCAAAAGCACTTGTCACAGAAAAAAATCACATCTCTATACCTGAAACTGAGGTTAATGTACAGAGAAATGTATTTTTCTGAGAAAAGTTCGTGCGTGGATGATGAATAAATGACAGGAAATTCAACCTCACCGTAATAACTATTATATTGTAGTGATACAAATCAGTATACACTGGTTTGTTGTTATATATTATATTAATATAACAGTTACATATATATATAATTTTCATCCATTTGTATATCATTCTATTATACTATTCTAATAATAGTGCAGTGCAAGTGCATGGTGGACACTCTTCTGTAAAAATTCGATTTTTCTAAAAGATTGGATATGAGTAGGCATTCATATTTTCCCGCAAAAACAATTACAGAGTTACCGGTCCTTGCCTGGATTCTTGAGATATTCTTCCGCATGCTTTAACACAATTTTTTTGGTACGTGTGCATAGATATTATCAATGATTTTTTACTTATATATATATATATATATATCTAACGACAAAACATTTTCATATTACTAATTTAATTATGATCTAAACAAAAATATTTTTATCAGTATTCATTGTATTTATGTATTTATAACAAACAATAAGGAATGTTAGTTTGCACTCGTTAATATCCGCGTATTTATCATGTTTATAGATCGGTGACAAACCCAAAACGAAAGTTACGTAATGGAAATCTAGGCGATAGCAATACATCAGAATGCCCTCACGGTCATCGCGATGTAAAAATTAATGTTTTTCAATAAATTCATGAGACATGTAGTTGTATGAAAATTTATCCCAGTCAATCTATCATGAAATGAAGGTCAGATTTTGAGTTTCAAGTTTAACCTATACAAAACATACAGTTTAAACTACCGGTATGGGCATTATACAACAACAGATATGTTACTGAAATACATGATCATAAAATTAAATAAATGTCTTTTAACTATATACAAATGGTTAACAACAGAATTATAATGAATATTCTGATTCTGTTAACAAATTAGTGGTATATATCTATAGCATCATTTTTGAACACTTAAAAGTTCTATTTGGCAGTGAGAACAACATCTGTTAACTTTGAACACTGTCATGGCTACAACTTGTGTCCATGATTTATCCTTGATCATTGTCACAGGTATAGTTTTGCTTCATATTTTATCCTTTAACATTGCCAGGTGCATTTTTTGTTAATATTCTCTCATTGAACATATCCCATCAACAAAATTTAGAAGTTGTAGCACTTTGGTTCATATCTTATTCTTGAACATTGCCGCATGTACCATTTGGAGGTCGGTAAAGTTTTGGTATATATTCTATCCCTGAACATTGCCATATGTACCATTTGGAGGTCGGTAAAGTTTTGGTACATAAAGTAACTGGAAACTGTTAAATGCATATTTTCTACATCCAATGTTTTTTAACGTGTTTTCTCTTCTAACTCCCTCACTGAAAAAAAAACATCTCTTAAATTATTTAAATCTACTTCTGTAAATATCAAGTCTTATAGCTCTAGTCACTTAATTTTAAAACTGCACAAATATAAAAATATTTTACAAATTCATATAATTACCGTCTTTTTATGATTTTATGACTTGACCATAGAGACATGCTAAGGTAGTATACAGACCTACCTTGTGAAGCAGTCTAAGACATGAGAAAATACATGGATGTTATTTTGGTAGTATAAAAACCTACCTTCTGAAGGAGTCTAAGACATGAGAAAATACATGGGATGTTATTTTGGTAGCATACAGACCTATCTTCTGAAGCAGTCTAAGCCATGAGAAAATACATGGGATGTTATTTTGGTAGCAAACAGACCAACCTTCTGAAGGAGTCTAAGACATGAGAAAATACATGGGATGTTATTTTGGTAGCATACAGACCAACCTTCTGAAGCAGTCTAAGACATGAGAAAATACATGGGATGTTATTTTGGTAGCATACAGACCAACCTTCTGAAGGAGTCTAAGACATGAGAAAATACATGGGATGTTATTTTGGTAGCATATATACAGACCTACCTTCTGAAGCAGTCTAAGACATGAGAAAATACATGGGACGTAATTTTGGTAGCATATATACAGACCTACCTTCTGAAGCAGTCTAAGACATGAGAAAATACATGGGATATTATTTTGGTAGCATACAGACCAACCTTCTGAAGGAGTCTAAGACATGAGAAAATACATGGGATGTTATTTTGGTAGCATACAGACCAACCTTCTGAAGCTGAGAAAATACATGGGATGTTATTTTGGTAGCATACAGACCAACCTTCTGAAGCAGTCTAAGACATGAGAAAATACATGGGATGTTATTTTGGTAGAATACAGACCTACCTTCTGAAGCAGTCTAAGACATGAGAAAATACATGGGATGTTATTTTGGTAGCATACAGACCTACCTTATGAAGCAGTCTAAGACATGAGAAAATACATGGGATGTTATTTTGGTAGTATACAGACTACCTTCTGAAGCAGTCTAAGACATGAGAAAATACATGGGATGTTATTTTGGTAGTATACAGACCTACCTTATGAAGCAGTCTAAGACATGAGAAAATACATGGGATGTTATTTTGGTAGCATACAGACCTACCTTCTGAAGCAGTCTAAGACATGAGAAAATACATGGGGTGTTATTTTGGTAGTATACAGACCTACCTTCTGAAGCAGTCTAAGACATGAGAAAATACATGGGATGTTATTTTGGTAGTATACAGACCTACCTTCTGAAGGAGTCTAAGACATGAGAAAATACATGGGATGTTATTTTGGTAGAATACAGACCTACCTTCTGAAGCAGTCTAAGACATGAGAAAATACATGGGATGTTATTTTGGTAGCATACAGACCTACCTTCTGAAGCAGTCTAAGACATGAGAAAATACATGGGATGTTATTTTGGTAGCATACAGACCTACCTTCTGAAGCAGTCTAAGACATGAGAAAATACATGGGATGTTATTTTGGTAGCATACAGACCTACCTTCTGAAGCAGTCTAAGACATGAGAAAAGACATGGGATGTTATTTGGGTAGCATACAGACCTACCTTCTGAAGCAGTCTAAGACATGAGAAAATACATGGGATGTTATTTTGGTAGCATACAGACCTACCTTCTGAAGCAGTCTAAGACATGAGAAAATACATGGGATGTTATTTTGGTAGTATACAGACCTACCTTCTGAAGCAGTCTAAGACATGAGAAAAGACATGGGATGTTATTTGGGTAGCATACAGACCTACCTTCTGAAGCAGTCTAAGACATGAGAAAATACATGGGATGTTATTTTGGTAGCATACAGACCTACCTTCTGAAGCAGTCTAAGACATGAGAAAATACATGGGATGTTATTTTGGTAGCATACAGACCTACCTTATGAAGCAGTCTAAGACATGAGAAAATACATGGGATGTTATTTTGGTAGTATACAGACCTACCTTCTGAAGCAGTCTAAGACATGAGAAAAGACATGGGATGTTATTTGGGTAGCATACAGACCTACCTTCTGAAGCAGTCTAAGACATGAGAAAATACATGGGATGTTATTTTGGTAGCATACAGACCTACCTTCTGAAGCAGTCTAAGACATGAGAAAATACATGGGATGTTATTTTGGTAGCATACAGACCTACCTTCTGAAGCAGTCTAAGACATGAGAAAAGACATGGGATGTTATTTGGGTAGCATACAGACCTACCTTCTGAAGCAGTCTAAGACATGAGAAAATACATGGGATGTTATTTTGGTAGTATACAGACCTACCTTCTGAAGCAGTCTAAGACATGAGAAAAGACATGGGATGTTATTTGGGTAGCATACAGAACCACCTACTTCAGTCTAAAGCCTCCATAAATACTGTAAATTCAGAAATTATTGAAAAGTTTTTATTAATACCAATAATGTGACTGTATAAGTATCGCAGTAATAATAAAAGAACAGAGTTCCAATGTCCTCCACGTTGCACATCCAAGGTACAAGGACAAATACTACCAAAATAAAACTTTTTATTAATATCTTAGAGAACTGAAGGCTTCAGAGCAAATATTTCCATTATAATTAAAATTTCCAAGGGGCATAACTCGTTAAAAATATTTGATTAGAACTTTATTTTTGAAAGTGTCAAAGACATTGCTGATATAAACCTATGATATAAGTTTCATAAAATTCAGGCCAGGATTGAACTTATGAGAGCATTAACAATGCAATTTTCTGTAAAATCAATATTTCTAAGGGGCATAACTCTTTTAAAAATAATTGATCGGCACTGATTTTCGAACTTGTAAAAGACATTGATGATATAAACCTATGATATAAATTTCATAAAAATCTGGCAAGATTTGTACATATCTGAGCGCTCATAAGGCAATTTTCCATATAATTAATATCTCTAAGGGGCATAACTCTTTTAAAATTTTTTGATCGGCACTGATTTTCGAACTCATCAAAGACATTGCTGATATAAACCTATGATTTAATTTTCATAAAATTCTGGCAAGAATTGTACACATGAGAGCACTAACAATGCATTTTTCAATATTATTAATGTTTCCAAGGGCATAACTCTTTTAAAAATAATTGATCAGCACTGATTTTCGAACTAGTCAAAGGCATTGCTGATATTAACCTATGATGTAAGTTTCATAAAAATCTGGCAAGAATTGAACACATGAGAGCGCTAGAAATGCATTTTTCCATATAATTAATGTTTCCAAGGGGCATAACTCTTTTCAAAATAATTGATCAGGCCTGATTTTCAAATTCCTCCAAGACATTGCTAATATGAACCTATGATATAAGTTTCATAAAAATCTGGCAAGAATTGAACAGATGAGAATGCAAAAGATGCAATTTTCCATATAATTAATGTTTCCAAGGAGCATAACTCTTTCAAAAATAATTGATCGGGACTGATTTTCGAACTTGTCCAAGACATTGCTGATATAAACCTATGATATAAGTTTCATAAAAATCTGGCAAGAATTGTACATAGAGAGCGCCAACAAGACCGCTCAGACGGACACCTGGTATTTCTATGTCCCCTGCAACCCGTTGCGCAGGGGACAACAACTCACATTATGATATCAGATACATATATCTGTATGCAGATTTCCATTCTTGAAAAATCACAATAGTAAATGCACCCAATAATTTCTGAATTTTATATACAGTCTGTGAGAATTTGATTAATGTTTTGTAGAATATAAACATATCTTTTGAAGCAATCTAAGTCCTGAGGGAACACATGGGATGTTAACTCATGTTCTTATAGTAAATAAACCTAGACTTCTGAAGCAATCTAAGTCCTGAGGGAACACATGGGCTTTTAACTCATGTTCTTATAGTGCATAAACCTACCTTCTGAAGCAATATAAGGGCCTGAGTGAACACATGGAATGTTAACTCATGTTCTTATAGTTAATAAACTTAGACTTCTGAAGCAATATAAGGGCCAAATTGAACACATGGGATGTTAACTCATGTTCTTATAGTGCATAAACCTACCTTCTGAAGCAATATAAGGGCCTGAGTGAACACATGGAATGTTAACTCATGTTCTTATAGTGTATAAACCTAGACTTTCTGAAGCAATCTAAGACCAAAGTGAACACATAGGATGCTGAATAATGTTCTTATTGTGTATAAACCTAGACCTTCTGAAGCAATCTAGGGCCTGGATGTACACATAGGATGTTAACTCATGTTCTTATAGTATATAAACCTACCTCCTGAAGCAACCCAGGGCCTGAGTGAACACATGGGATGTTAACTCATGTTCTTATAGTATATAAACCTACTTTCAGAAGCAATCTAAGGCCTGTGTGAACACATGGGATATTAACTCATGTTGTTATAGTATATAAACCTACCTTCTGAAGCAATCTAAGACATGAGTGAACATCCCATTTTAACTCATGTTCTTATAGTATATAAACCTACCTTCTGAAGCAATCTAAGGCCTGAGTGAACACATGGGATGCTAAATCATGTTCCTGTTGTAGTATATACACCTGTTCTAGTGTGATTGACATAGCTGTTCTATCTTTAGCACTTTTACAACTTGTGAATCTTATACCCTGTAACTTTCTTGTCAACTGAAAATAAGAAGGAAAAAACATTGGAGCAATTCCTAATAATATACTAGGTTTAACAAGTGGTTGTATTGAATAAATAAAATGCTTTGCAGAGCGCAGCCTGATAAGACTGCAGATGTCAAACCCTGAACAGTAGGGGCAAGTTTGGACACAATATTCAAATCTGAATTTGGATTGTGATCAAATTTTTCACATAAAATAGGTTTCTGACAAAAAATAAATGTGGTCAAAGATCTTAAAAATTTGAAATGGGACATTTAATTTACCTAGTATGTCTGATATCCAAAATCTAACAACATGGTTAGATTCAGCATATAAAAAAAAACACCAGAAATTTAATTTAGGTTGAAATCAAACAAAGATTAATTTTGGACCCTTTGGACCTCAATGTAGACCAATTTAAAAATGGGGCCCAATATCCAAAATAGTAATACAAGGTTAGAACCCCCAAAAACTTTGTAGCAAATCCATCAACCAAGATGACTGCCAACGGGGAACTTAGTTTAACAAAGGACCCTATGGAAAATATATACAAATGTCTTCTTCTAGAAAGCTGCTTAATTGATTGAAACCAAAAATGGTATGAACCAATTGTTGTTACTTTGTAGCTGATTTGTCATCCAAGATGGCTGCCAGCAGGGGACTTAGTTTAACATAAGACATACATACAAATGTCTTCTTATAGAGAACCACTGAATGGGATGAAACCAAACATGGCATGAATGTTCCTTATGAGGTGTCGACCAAGTGTTGTTACTTTGAAGCCGATCCATCATCCAAGATGGCCACCTGTATTACATTTCTTAACTTTTTTTAGGGGATGGGGGATGTCCGAAACTTGGGTTAATATAAAACATTATCCATCTAAGTACACAATAATATGTCTACCAGAGATGAACATTTAAAGTGGTATGTGAGGTAATCTATTCCACTGCCACTATAACAGTCTTTAAAGTCATATGAAACTTCAAATTTAAAAAAAAAGTTGAACATGTTTTATATACTTTGATGGCTAAGTCTTACTATAAAACATGTGTAAGTGAATTTTCATTTTCTTGTAAAGGAAATCCTTTATATTATCAAAATCTTCATTGATATACTGCTATTGAATTATTGTCTTCTCGTTCACTAATTCGCCGATATTTTTCTGTATACAGTGACCTTAACTAAGATCTCTCTTTAAAACTTCGGCCACCGCACAGTGCAAATGCAGGGGTAAAATCATGATGAAAGAATGTAAACAAACGTGCACTGGACGGTAAATAGTATTAACTGATTCTTAAAGAACAAATTGTGTCATAGATCAAATTTATTCGTTCAGTGTATGTTCACTTGTTTTTGTTAATATGTGCTTTTGATTGAGTTAAGCCATTTCAATTGATATTTTATAGTGTGTCTTTCTATGTTGTGATGTTACACTATTGTTTCAGGGTAGGGTGAATGTTGGCGCCTATTAAAACGTTTAAATCCACTGCATTTGTTTGCACCTGTCCTAAGTCAGGAACCTGATGTTCAGTGGTTGTCGTTTGTTGTTGTGGTTCATAAATGTTTCTCGTTTTTCATATAGATTAGACCGTTTGTTTTCCTATTTGAATGGTTTTACACTAATTAGTCATTTTTGGGGCCCTTTATAGCTTGCTGTTCGGTGTAAGCCAAGGCTCCGTGTTGAAGGCGGTACTTTGACCTATAATGGTTTACTTTTACAAATTGTGACTTGGATGGAAAGTTGCACTCATACCACATCTTCTTATATCTAAATATAATACAGCAATTCATTCATCAAATGTTATGGAAAAGTTTAATTAACAAATGGGAATGCATGGAAAATATAAAAGAAAACATATCATGGCTCATCAATTCGTCTATTTGTCATGTGTGCCACTTGCTCTGTGTTGATTTTTTATCAATATCACGATTCCGGTATACTTTGGCAACAAACTCGAAAGTTAATTAGCTTGCGTTCAACAATCACTGAATGAAACATAATTTGTCGAAAATACATAACAGATTCGTAATAAATATAAAAAAACTTGCATCCTGACTTAGTTTAGTATATATGCATGTATTGGTTCAATAAATTCGATAATATTAAAATTACAAGAAACTCGTTTCATATGACTTTAAGTGTTACATATCATTTCATAAGCTCAGGTGATTAACATATGAGCCTCGTCGGATAGAAATCCACCTTATGCAAGTGCACGTATACATGTACATATGTAAGACTTTGATTGATTTTAGAACATTCAAATACGAAACAAACGATGAAATTGGGTCGGTTTTGTAGGGTTCTTATATCAACTCAATTTTTAAACAGTTATAGACTTTGCATAGAAATTTTTTTGACCCGAAATAAGTTAACAGATGTATTGACATTTATTTGCATAAGGTCGATTTCTATCCGACGCAGCTCATATAATTACTTGTATAACAAGCACCTGCCGTATGTGTTAATACAAAAGTCAATATTTAAACCTAACTGACGCAAGCAATTTAAACACTAAATTTTGAAATCAACCGCATTTGTCGTACATTGAACATTATATATGTCTAGCTTGCTATTAGCACCTCAAGTAATTTGAATGGGATGGCCAAGCTTTATACTAATTATGTGTCATGGTATTAGCACTTCATGTTATATCGATGTGGGTCCAACTTCATGATACTGTAAATTCAGAATTTATTGCGTGCATTAATTATTGCGATTTTGTCCTTTTAGACTAAAATGCGATTTTAATTTTTGCGATATTGTGAAAAATCTTGTTCAATTCATATAAAAAATTTCAAAATGCAAGTTTAAATTATTGCGATTATAACCCTGTCGCGTTTTTCGCAAAAATAAAAACATCGCAATAATTTCTGAATTTACAGTCATTATATCTCTTGTTTAATCGCTATTAAAGTCATATATATATACTTGTTGCAAGGATTCTTCAAGACAACTACATCACTAACTTTAGACCAATCAAAATAATAGATTTGTAAAAAAAATTAATAACAAAGCTTCATTACAACTACATGTCTTGTTATAAGAACTTATAGTCATATAAATACTTGATAACCAAGGTACTTGTACATGTCTTGTTATAAGAACTTATAGTCATATAAATACTTGATAACCAAGGTACTTGTACATGTCTTGTTATAAGAACTTATAGTCATATAAATACTTGATAACCAAGGTACTTGTACATGTCTTGCTATCAGAAGGAATAGATTTATACAATCTCTGAAAATTTTTGTATGTGGCATGATTTATCTTTAATATTCACTATAAATCCATTAGTGAATGCTAATTGAATCACCTTCTTTAAATAAGGTCATTATTATTATTATTATTCAAATGCATCATATAAGGTCATAAAAAAAACTATCAATGAATGGTGACTAAATATAATTGCATCAAAGGGATTTCATAGGAAATATACCTATTTTGTTTCGTAGGAAGAAAATGAGTACAGTGACCACAATTTTTCTATTATTTTCTGAAAGCTCATCTCCTCAAAATTTATTTCAAAATTCTATTGCTTAGTTTTCTTTCTATTCACACAAATGTGGTTGTACAAATGTATTATCCTTACACCATCTGTCTATTTTACATAACCTGTAGCATGTACAAATGCTATATGCCCCATACTTTTTTTTTATTTTTGAAAAGAAGATGATAGAAGCTATGTTTTAGGAAAATATTAAAAAATTCTATCAATCACTCAAGAAGGAAACCATGATTTTTCATGTTTGCATAAGAATTTGCCCCTTATGTGACTAATCAATACAATGGCCAATTTCTCCTATTCACTCACAGGCTAAAGATCCTAATGTTTATAAAACCTAATGGGATTTGAATATTCACATGTTTCTGTACAACATTGTATCGAATGACATGATTACATCAGTAAAGTAATTTGTATCAGAAAAGTAATTCATAAATTATGTCTGATGGAAGTTTTTAAAAGAAAATGTCAATCATGAACCAACTATTTATTTTCTAATCCTAGCTTTGTGTTATTCAAGACTCATTGACATATCTTCAATAGTTCTGTAAGAGTTTAAAACTTAAAATGTATTCAAAAATTACTTTTTTTTTTAAAAGTTGAACAATAATGTTAAAAAAAAATTGTTTTATAGATTCTGTGTATTCCATATTCTACACATTATAATACATATAATTTTAAAATACTGCTTGCATACATACATAAACCCTATAATTGATTTATTGTTGATATGTCAATATTCTGACATTCATAAAAAAAAAATGAAAACACACATGTGTGTTTCTTTATTCTACATTGGCTAGAGGTATAGGGGGTCAGGGTTGAGATCTCACAAAACATGTTTAACCCCGCCGCATTTTTGCACCTGTCCCAAGTCAGGAGTCTCTGGCCTTTGTTAGTCTTGTATGTTTTTTTAATTTTAGTTCCTTTATATGTTTTGGAGTTTAGTGTGACGTCCATTTTCACTGAACCAGTACGCAATTTTATTTAGGGGCCAGCTGAGGACCACCTACGGGTGCGGGATTTTCCCGCTGCGTTGAAGACCCATTGGTGGTCTTCGGCTGTTATCTGCTCTTTGGTCGGGTTGTTGTCTCTTTGACATATTCCCCATTTCCATTCTCAATTTTATAGCTATTCCAAATGGCACGTGTATTCAATTAGCAAGTTCAATCCTATTAAACAGGCAAGGTGGTCTATATGTTAAGATATGGCATCCTTGCACAAGCCCATGTATTACATAATGGCACATATATGTCAACTAAATGGTACAAAATGGCATACATGTACAAGTCTTCCATAAATGACTATATTAATTACAAAAGCATCTCCCATTCAAAGCAGTCTTAAAAAAAAAAAAAAACAACCAATGAAATCTCGATCTCAATAATTAATAGCTTATTTATAAATTTTGCTGTGTACAGTTCTCTCTTCCCATTATTGCTTTCCAAATAATATCTAAAAGCTCTACAGATAAAAGAAGAATGTGTCAATGGGATACAGATGCCC